ATCCATGTGGGAGCAAATAACACAGCTAAGAGCAACTTCAGAGAAATCACATCAGACTTTGAAGCTCTGGGAAGGAAACCTAAGGACTTTGGTGCCCAGGTAGTTTTCTCAACCATCTTACCAATACTTTGAAAACGAATAAAAAGGGAAAGGAAAGGAAAGTTCAGAGAGGACCTCAAAACAAAAAAGGACATGTATAGGAAGTGGAAAGAGGGCCAGGCCACCAAGGAAGAGTACAAACAAGTAGCAAGCAGTTGCAGAGATGGTATCCAGAAGGCAAAAGCTGAGAATGAGCTGAGGTTACCCAGAGACACTAAAAGCAACCAAAAAAAGCATTCTTCAGGTATGTGCATAGCAAAAGAAAATAGGTGGTGGCTAAGCGACTCAATGGAGATGGAAAAATTATATGATAATTAGGCAGAAGCACTCAATTTCTATTTCAGCCCAGTCTTTTCCCCAGACAAATGAGTGCAAGGGGGGGCAGGATTACAGCTGGAAATTGTTAAACAAATAATCAAGGAATACCTTGCTACCTTGAAATCTCCAGGGCCAGATGAATTGCATCCAAAAGTATTGAAGGAACTGACTGAGTCTCGGAAAGACTGTCCATTATTTTCATGAAATCATGAAATATGGGTGAAGTACCAGATGGAGGAGGACTAATGTCCCTATCTTCAAAAAAAGCCAAAATGAGGAAACTGGGAACTACAGACTAGTAAGCCTGACATCAACCCCAGGAAAAATTTTGGAAGAGATTATTAAGTGGTCACTATGCAAGCACCTAGAAAACAATGCAATGATAACTAAAAGCCCACACAGATTTGTCAAGAATAAATCCTGCCAGACTAACGCAATCTCATGTTTTGATAGGGTATTGAACAATTTTATGAAGATTTACAACACCTTCTAGAACTGACACCGAAGAAGGATGTTCTTCTCATTCTGGGGGACTGGAATGCTAAGGTAGGGAGTCAAGAGATAAAAGGAACAACAGGGAAGTTTGGCCTTGGAGTTCAAAACGAAGCAGGGCAAAGGCTAATAGAGTTTTGTCAAGAGAACAAGCTGGTCATCACAAACACCCTTTTCCAACAACACAAGAGGCGACTCTACACATGGAAATCACCAGATGGGCAACATCGAAATCAGATTGACTATATTCTCTGCAGCCAAAGATGGAGAAGCTCTATACAGTCAGCAAAAACAAGACCTGGAGCTGATTGTGGCTCTGATCATCAGCTTCTCATAGCAAAATTCAAGCTTAAACTGAAGAGAGTAGGAAAAACCACTGGGCCACTCAGGTATAATCTAAACCAAATCCCTTACGAATACACAGTAGAAGTGAAGAACAGATTTAAGGAACTAGATTTGGTGGACAGAGTGCCTGAAGAACTTTGGATAGAGGCTCGTAACATTGTACAGGAGGCAGCAACAAAAACCATCCCAAAGAAAAGGAAATGCAAGAAAGCAAACTGGCTGTCCAACGAGGCCTTACAAATAGCAGAAAAGAGAAGGGAAACAAAATGCAGGGGAGATAGGGAAAGTTACAGAAAATTGAATGCAGACTTCCAAAGAATAGCAAGGAGAGACAAGAGGGCCTTCTTAAATGAACAATGCAAAGAAATAGAGGAAAATAACAGAAAAGGAAAAACCAGAGATCTGGTCAGGAAAATTGGAGATATTAGAGGAAAATTTTGTGCAAAGATGGACATGATAAAAGACAAAAATGGAAGGGACCTCACAGAAGCAGAAGACATCAAGAAGAGGTGGCAAGAATACACAGAGGAATTATATCAGAAAGAGTTGGATATCCTGGACAACCCAGACAAT